GAGTGTCTTGCAGGGTATTTTAGCATGATAGAAAGCCTTTTCTATTTGAAGTGTAATCACAGTCTTACCAACTAATGAAAAATCTGGCTTTGAACCCAGTTTGTTCCACGAGGCTTACAAGATTATGTTTATACTTATTTTTATTGTGCTCATTTATCTCCACTGGAATTTTGATGCAGGGGATAACATTTCTCCTTGGAAGACAGTGCATTCATTTTTTTTTCTGCCAGTTTTGTCAGGATCCTCATCTGGTGCACAGATTAATTGGCACTGGAATATTCTGCAGGGAGGGAAAACTGTTTAGAGAACATGACTGCATGCTAACTTCTATGGTAATGGACAAGTAAAAACAATTGCAGTTTAAGTAAGCCTTTCTAGAGCATCTACATGTGCATTAATGCACTGTAGTTCCAGCACATTAAGTTTAGTACTCGTAATAACGGGGTGCCTGTACATGAGAGCGGAGTCTCCTCCAACATGCTGTAATTATGCAGGACAGCAGAGCAGACTCAATTGATTATTACCACACTTCAGCAACCTCCTGCATCTCACGTACCGGTGTCCCTGTGCTTCCAAATGGTGACAGGGGCACTTGAACTAAAGCTCGTCAAATGCCTCCGCTGCCGTTTCAAGCCCCAGATGCCATTGTGTAGTGCAGGGACGCTGATACACAAGATGCTGTGCATCTTAGTTAGAGCAGCTCTTGGAGCCGCTTTAATTAAAGCATGCCTCCCACCCCAGAGCACATGTAAAAGTGCCCACAGGTACTAACACAATGCACAGTAACCGCATTGAATAACTACTGTGCAGTAGCACCAGTGCATGCCTTGTTAGTGATGCTAATGCGCAGTAGACTAATTCTACTGCGCATTAGCATAGCTTTTGCCGTGATGTGCAAATGCTCAGTAGAATTAGTCTGCTGTGCATTTAGCATCTTGTGTAGACGTGCCCACAGTGAACTCCCACAAGCTCACACTCCTTGTATGGTGATAACAAATGAAAGGGTTACTCAAGGATAGACTGCATCCAAAAATTGGCATCCTTTGCCTGCATGACACCATCTTCTGTGATTTCATGGTGAGTGTTTGACAGTGTCCCATCCCTTGAGACGGGTATGGATGAAAAGTGGACCCACATTGTGGGGGAGCAAGACTAAGGGTGGGTCCCACTATTGTACAGCAAAGGTTCCCTTAGTTAGTTGGAAGAGTCATTCGTGGGCTCTACATTTCTGAGAAGGTGTAGAAGAGAAAAAAGGTCTCTCTGTTCAAGCCATAGACACAATACTTGTTTCCCTTTAAGCATATCTGGAGTCAAGTAGCGACGCCATGCACTGGTTCCAAGAAAGTCACTGGAAGTTGTGCAAGCAGTTAAAGCTGAGTATGGACTTCTGTATTCGACTTATAGAGTTCCTGAGCCACTTTGTAGCCAGCACTAAATTCCAATAGTTTAAATAACAGGTCAGCTTTAATGTTATGTTAAATACACTACGTAGAGAAATTTTTAAATGCCTATTTTTTATTAAATAATTAAGTTTCCAAACTTAGCAAAAGAAAAACTATTTGTAACTGGGGCAAAATGGTTCTCTTTTCTTGATGGGGTTTTTTTTTTTTTTTTTGGAAGGCAAATAACTTTGTAAAAACCATTTAAGCCATTTTTATAATTC